GAGTAATGAGGTCGGTGGCGGTGGCCTATGGTGGTAGATCTGGACGTAGGGGCAGGGACTGGCGACGCGGTGGCAATCTCTGAGCAGGGCTTCCAGCGATTTGCAGAATCGTAGTCGCAGTCGCTTTTTTCTGCGATGGGGCTTGCGGCTTCTTCTGACGCAACCGACTCCCATAACAGGTTGTGAGCGCCACGACCACCGGTACCGTCCTCTGGCGGCGGGCCACCCTCCACTGAAAAGCAATGTTTCGAGATATCTCCATCTCAAAAATTGTACAAGTGATTCTAGTGTGTTGTTGACACACTCACAGTCTTAAAACCCAATATTTAAGTGGCAGCATCGAGGCTGGCTCGAGGACGAGCACTGTGGCCCCGTGTAGAGTGGCCCGTCGGAATGGCCGGAGACAGCTCCGAGTGGAGCACAGGCTTCTCCGCGAGAAATCTGGATGCGACTACGATTCTGCAAACCGCTGTCAAAACCATGTTCCTATATGACCATAGACATGAGTATATCTCATGAAACACGATCAATATCGCTTTTGAGAGAGTAGACAGGGTATCAAGGACTCTTGAAAGCGCGTTCAATGCTAGTGCCAGTGAGGTTGCTCAATGGTATCATAATGGCACATATTCAGCCTCCTCGTCCCTCGTCCGGTGTTTTGGCTTGTACGTCTGGTTCTTTGTATCCTAAGTACAGGAGGGTTACGAGGGCACTCACCAAAATTTGTTCACGACAGCAGACATGATAGTAGCAGATATGTAAAACGATAGATGGGTACTGATTACAAACGGAAAACCAGTAAGGACAGCGTAGACTAGCGAAAGAATCATCATGCGGTCTACACTTGGAACCAGGGCATCATCAAAAGCTCTCGAGCGGACGGACGGTCCACAGGGTGGATGCAAAGCATCGCTGTAAGTAGCTCAAGCAGCTCGGGAGTATACACATTGTATACCTTGAGGACTTCAGGGAGCGACTGGCGGTAACGAGCTTCCTGAGTGATGATAAGGTCTGTACGGGGAGTATGTTAGCTGGCATATGGTATTCAGCACAATACGACGTACTGCCGTTCTCATCAAAGTAGTGGTCGTTGAAATGGCCGGTCCGGAGGAAGCTCGTCAGGCGTTGCATCTCGCTGTCATCTGCGAGCGTCCCAAAGATTCGAGCGAGGTGGTACTGCAAGGGGCTGCAGCCTTCAACTCTCTTAGGTTGAAAAAGGTTGCGAGCCGTAAGCAGTTCAAATATCTGTTGTGGACATGTCAACGTCAACATACATGGGAGAGAGCAGACATAACACACTCACAAGACAGCCAAAATTCCATATGTCGGTCTTGACATCGAAAGGGCAACCTACAAGCGCTTCTGGACTTCGAAGTGCGTGAGGCTGAATGATGTGATCGTGTTTCACATCCGAGTCCAGCGGAACCGCTGCGAACGTACGGTCAATGAGTTATATCGAGCGCATCGTCAAGAATATGTTCGTAGTAGCCTACCTGAGCCATAGTCGACAAGGACAGCCCTGGTAGCGAGGACATCCGTCCAATAGTCTTCAGGGTCAGTCTTAACGATGACGCCTTTTAAAAGGATGTTATCAGGCTTAATGTCTGCAAGTGGCCTCAGCGATCGGAGTAGATGCGAAGGAATCAAAAGAAACACACCGGTATGGACGACGGAACAATCTTCATGCAGGGTCTGAAGCGCGCGCAAAACGTGCCGTGCAAGTTGCTTAACGACCTGCTGCGGCAGAGGCGCTATAGCACGCTTTCCATTGATATTGCGACGCTGCAGATCCAAGACAGAAGAGCCAAGAACCTCCGTAACCAGACACAGGTGTTCTCCGTGATCGCCGTTCATAGTGAACTCGTCGATTAGATGCAAAAGGTGACTTGTGTCATCGTTGGCGGTGGGCATACGAGAGATGCGTTCCATAACGCGTTTCTCGTAGGAAACCCTGCCCTGACCGTAAGTGGCAACGTCGGTCAATACCTTGATGGCTACACGAGAGCCAGTACTATTCATCTTAATTTCAGTTTCACATCTCTGGACATATGAGGGATATTCTCATACACATTTCGGTCCTCGGCGAGCCACACGGTGGCTTGTCGGCCTCGTCCCAGCTGCTCGAGGATTGTGTACCGGTCGGAAAGAAGTTGTTCAGGACGTAGAAGAAGATGAATAGGTTCATTAGACACTGCTCGACTTGAAAAGGTCCGCAGACGACTGAAAAGGGCGTTGAGCATGATGACGGTTGTAGTTGAACTGGAACATGAGGGAGCCCAAGCGTCGTCATCGAGTCTCGGCAGAAGCCGTCTGTCTTCGGTCGGTGCCGGCTGAGCCCGCGCACCCAGTCGAAAATTTCGCCTCCTGTTTCTTTTCTTTATTCTTTTCCTTCTCCCGCTCATCGTCGAATTTTGGCCATCTCATTTTGTCGCGCCCGCCACTCCCCTTTTACCTACGAGATCATCATGTATTTATCGTTGCCTCGTACGCTGGTTCATAAATCATCTTGTTTGCCTTCCGCACACGGTTTCTGCGAGAAAATTGCGCAGTAGTGAGCCCACCACCCGGGCGGCTCATCCTGCTTGATCGACTAGGAATGACGATAAGTACACCATATAACATACAGGTAGCACTAACCACAATAGAAGTGCTTGGTGTGAGAAGAGAATGGTGAGTGACTCTCTAATCGCATATCTGATCAGAAGCTCCACAATGTACGGCGTATACTGATGATAACATGTCTCAAGACAGGGTGCTCGAAGCCAGCGCTCAATTTCGGGTCTGACGGTGTTAAAAACGTACCCACAGAACCGTTGACTGGCACATGGTGAAACACGGAGACTGTACCACCGGAAAGCGAGATCTACTGTCCAAAGGGTTTTCACTCAGCCTCAAGTGCCCGGTGGGAATTCACGTTCAACGTGGGTACTTCAGATTCGCTGAGATGTTGTGTACGGTTTAAGCAAAAGTAGATGCCCATTGCTGCTGTCTACTGCGGTCTACACGGCACGATTTTTGATTCTGTCCGGAACAACGGAGAATAAGAAAGAATGGGCAAGTCTTCTCAGTCAATCGGTGGATCATGGGACTTGGATGTCATTCACAATACACAAGCTGTTGTTGCCTGGTTTACCTCCATAAAGCACTAACACAGAATTGAGAGTATCTTCTCTAGTATTTTCTCCGCAGACAGTTTTGCATCCAAGCTGTGTGAGAGCACTCCCAAAAACAGGAGGTAGGCGAGAGAGTAAAAAAAACCAGTGGAAACCCTCATAATGAGAGCTCGCTAGGTGAATGCTTGAGAATCCAGTGTCTCGGATGTCTTCCCTTTATATCCCATCAAATTACACGAAACAGGATCCCTTCAACCCACAATCTCTGTCTTGAAACGCGAGCAGGAGCGGGGTGAGAAGTACGCCGGAAATCGGAGGGACTGATTCACTACGGAGGTCGCCGCGGGTGAAAGTCACCGGAAAATCAACCGGGTTTTAGGTGGTTTTCGACGTTAGAGTGGTCGATCTTCACCCTGTCGCGGCTCGACAGGGTGATCTTCGATGTCGCAGGAGGTGAACAAAGACGGTGAAGATAACCCCGCCTATGCTCCTTTTCACCAGTTCAGTTTCGTGCTGTGAGACGTTGATTTCCCACCTACTATGGGGTGATCTTTGACTTCTGGTAATTGGACACTTCCACCTCTTTTGAAATGTTGAATAAAACCCTTTCGTTGTCCCTCTGCTTGCATTGGATAATCGAACGGGTTGTATTTTATTCCAATAGATGGGCATCTTCCCAGCCCCAAGCGAGCTCAGACGGGTGGATATGGTAAACAATATGACATTTATATAGCCTAGGTTATTACAGTATCATACAGTACATGAAGGCACAAGGACCGGCAGCAGTACCGACAACAGAAGAAAGAAGCATATGAAAAGCTATAGATGACACTCACCCAGAAGCGGTCCTACAGAGCTTTCTAGGAATTCCCAGCTTGACACGAGTTATTGGACGGATGAGTCGGGAGTGCAAGTCGCGGTAGGAGAGACTTGAAGGCTGGCGAGGGGCTGTTCGACTTGAAAGACCACGATTAGATACGTACTCAGCAAAAGATCGGAATCGGAGGGCGAGTAGCATAGATAAGAAAGAGGTAAAGTAACGTACCGAAGGCACATTTACATATGGGCGGGGGCTCACATAAAGAAAGCGTCATAAGAGATTGGGGGAAGGTCCACCGTCGTGGAAGGCGATCGACAACGCTCAATCTTGAGTCAGTTGTTGAGCGATGAGGCCTTCAACGCTCAGCATCTGACTCAGGACCGGGCGCGTCGTAGCGATGTAGCATTCTAAAGAGCCAGAAACGGGAGCGAAAGGAGGTTGGAGAACGAGGTCGACGCGCGTCGTCCGTTGAGTTAAGTTCAAGCTCCGCCTGA